AACATGTAAAGAAATTCTGTAGGCTTTTACAGTAAGGGCACTCAGTCTCTAACCATGAATCATAAAACTGTCTTTTTTTGAGCATTTCTTCTGGTGACTATAGAATGGAGGGTCTTCCAAAAATACAAGATATCATTTTTACAGTGTAAAATTTGTTAATTTGCAGAGTCCTCATTCTACAGTCATTCAGAAAGAAATGTACCTATAAATGTGTCGTGTTCAGGGTTCGAGTGTCCTGACTGAAATATATGTTATTTGCTGGCTTAGGGTCGGCCGTATAGTGAAAAACTGTGTGTGACTGAGCTCTTGAAAATGTTGCCCGAGGTCGCAGGCCGAGGGCAGCATTTTCAAGTCCGAGGTCACAGTTTTTCACTACATCGGACGGACCGACCCTAAGCCGGTAAATGACTTCTTTAGTTCTTCCTCTCTCTCAAATCACTTTAATAATTGCTGACCTTTTCCACACACACATCGCGCGCGCGCCGGTTACCGTGATAGGAAAATCCGGAGGGCGCTAAGAACCAATCAGATTGCAGGATTCGCTTCCGTGCCCTCTTAGATAAACTAAAGCACAGTACTCACCGAGCATAGTTGTTTAGGATGTGTAGGACCCCAGATATTGTTTTTGAAGATGTAGTTTGAAGGTGCGCTACTCGAGCGCATTTTTAAATCACGGACACAGAGACGTGCTTGGCTCATAACTCACGAGTCCTGTCAGTTATCAGCCCATTCTACCCCGCAATCCTTCTTAGCTTTGTGTAAAAATTAAACATAAAAATTCATTCCCACATGCCATATATTAATCGTTTAATGAAACCTACAACCTGGTCGAATTTAATACGTCACAATTTCTAATGCCACTTAGTGAATGAGACTTAGTGAATGAGAACATTACGTCATCAGGATGATTATTACGTCATCACTTGGGAAGGGATTGAAAAAGTGATCCGACGCAAAATGTCATTACTTTTCAGTTGGCCTTCATCTATTCCTTTGATAGAAAATCTGAAACGGGCACAGTTGAAAGGAAAGTCGTCATCTGTTCTTTTCACCCAGGGGTACCAGTAGGTATGTGCGGCCCAAAGGGTGTGGTTTTTTTAGCCAAAACGATTTTGGCCGTTTTGGTTTCAAATAGGGTATGGTCTTCGCACTCATAGTCTTGAATTCGGTATGTTTTTTAAAGAAGAAGCGACTCTTTCATCATTATCGATAAGACCATCGACAAAAGCCCTTCACAATGCCTTTAACATCGGTCTGAACTAGGTAACTAATTATAAGACAGGTCTGAAAGAGGGTATCAGGTCTTATTTTAAATAAGGTATCAAATTTTTGATCAGGTTGGTTTTGCCCACTTGACTGAAGTTGCTTTTTCAAACGTAACTGAAAACGGCATATATGGATAAATGTAATAGGACTTTATTCATTATTGTGACAAGTTGATCATACCTTAACTTATTCAACCTGAATAAAATGTGCCATTCTCTTTCAATAGGCTAACATACCAGGCTTATTTCAACAAAACCGTCAAAACAATACTTATTGGGTCCACTTACTTCTTAGCTCTCTGAATAACGATATTCAGATTGGAGCGAAAAACTACCAATGCCAGAAAGATCAGTTTCTAAAACTTACATTTGTTTGACATAACGTCAATCTTGCAAATTCAAATTAGCTGTCCTATATCTTCGACCTTATATAAATCTCACACTTACTCAACTAATTTAAGTGCTCTTCCCAATAGCTTCTCTTTCAAAGCAGAAGTAAATAATTTGAACACAAATCTCTTCTGGAACTACTTTCATAGTGATCCTACAACTAGAAATTCCTCACCGAAACCCACCCCTGAAACAAACCAAGTACTGAATTTTTTTTTTTCACTCCATGGACAATCAGCCAATCAGGACCCCAGAAAGCAGTTGCATATTAGGTTTCACCCACATGTTATGCAGCAGCGTGTCCCATTGTAATTTGATGCACCTCTGACAACTTGGCATTTCCCAGCCAAATCTTTCACAAGGTAATATGTATTGTTTTCTCATGGTCGCTGTAATGTGTATTTCCAGAAAATAGATTTTTTTTCCAGAGATTTTTTCCAAGACCCCCCACCCCTCTGGAAATTCCAATTAAGCTTGATGCATTTCTTTCAATGTCCTGGTCTTAGAGAACCCCACACCCCCAGGAAATTCTAACCCTTCTGTGGGGGGAGTATGGATATTTTCTGGAACTGCACAATGAGGATTTTACCCGATAAACTTTATTTGCCTTAAAATTACATGAAACTGACCGCCTTCACCTCCCTCCCCTGCCCCGCCCCCACCACAAAAAAAAGGATTTGATAATCTTTGCAAATTATCCAATCAGGGATGTGTGCCATAAACATCCATTGAGCTTGTGTTGTACATGTCTCAAATAAGGCACTTATTGTTTCATAATCATCCATAATTATAGATATGTATCATGCATTTCTCAAATCACAGTCAATGGTGTTTTATAGTTATTATCCATTCAGCTTATGTGTTATAACCATCCATTCAGCCTATCAGAGCATGTGATTTGTAACCTTGTAATCCAATCATGTATCGCACAACTATCCAATCACAACATATTATATTGTTTAACGGTGACTAGCACACCCTCAAAGTACATTTCAAATCACTGTATCTGTGAGGTTTAAAATATTTTCATGTCTGTACAGAATATACTAGAGACTGTACACTGTACATTAGCCTGACACTATAACAATAATTATTATTATTATCACTTTGTCGGGCATTGTGGCGCATTTTGCGGGCTAAAGTGGAGAATTTTGGCAGGCTAAAATATACATTTATTTCAGCCCACTGAAATAAACCAGACTGTTTTGTTTACATTTTTTCAGTTTTTATTCTCTCAATGCCCTCCAAAGTGATAACAATAGTAACAGAGTTTACACTTTAGGCCCTTCTCAGAGCTCATTTTAACCCTCGCCTTGTGGCTCGGGCTAAAATGAGTCTGAGTCTGCAGGCCCAAAACATATTTATGTCCACGAACATTAACTCTATTGTTTTATTATAATATTATTATTCACAAAATTCTGAAATTCGTATCCTAGGAGTTATCTTTTGTCTACTGTTGTTCATTGTCAGTGACATTGAAAAGCTCAAAACCCTTAACTGTAACTTGCTACTGTAAGATCATTACATGGATGCATGCACTTGTCTACATTGATCTTCAAGACAGAAACCTTTCCAAGGTGGACTGTCACAGCTGGTTTCTGGAGAACTCACTACATCCACGTACAAGATTAGTGGAAATTTTAGTGGAGCTCTCTTTGTGTCTTTTCAATCCTGATTTACTGTTCAAACAAACTAAACTGATGTCAGGATAAACGATTGAATAATTTCACCACTCCAAGGACACCATGTTCATCATCATCATCGGTCCTTATAGTGCCGTAGGATGCAGGAGGTCTCAAGGACACCATATTGGGAGGGTCTTTTGATCTTCTGTTCTAATTACCCAGCAAATAAACATATGACAATACTACATCCATGCTTGTTAAAACTCATGAAAATCTGTTGCCCTGTGTATTGATCACTTCTCAGTTATTGACTTTAAGGCTAGTAATCAAACCGATGCTCTCTTCCACTTTCCATATCCGGATTGATATCTACATAGTCCAGGTCTAAGTCCATATCAAAGAACTCATCCGATGTGTCAACATCAACTCCCACTTGTGCGATAGGATCAAATGGAATTATTTCATAATCCTCTAGAACAAGGTCTATTTCATCTCTAGGCGTCCCATGCCAGCTACGACTTAATGGATGTTCCTCAATCTGTGATTCCCCTTCTGCAGCTGAAGTACTTCCCATGCTTTCTATACCATCCTCGCAACTACCAGGAATTGTGGGGAGGGTCAACAGACCACTAGGATATGCAATACAGCTGATACTGCGACATTTCTTCATGTCTTTGTACGCTGCAGAAACAAGAATTAAATCTCCTTGAGTTAAACAGTAAAATAAATTTACCATGTTCATCCTCACAAAAATCAGTCAGACACAGTCTTACAAGTGGAGAGCATCAAATTTTCTCAAAGTTTACAAAATCACTGTGCATGTACAATAATTAGAGTGGACCCTGTTACTGCGCCTTTCAGTAACATGCGGACTCTAAAATTCAAAGCTCAACCGACTAATGCGTTTTTTGCTACTGTCAATGAAATATTCAGTGGCTCCTCCCAGCTTCTGGCTACTGCTGAGTGTGCAGTAATCAAATCATTGAGCACAGTTCAGACAACGAAACAGTGCTTGCCAGTAGCTGGAAGCTGGGAGGAGACGCCGAACATTTGATTGACGGTTGAGCTTTGAATTTTAGAGTCTGCATGTTATTGAAAGGCGCAGTAATACGGTCACCAACACGCCATGAAAATTTGGCCACATTAACAGAGTAGTATTGATTTAACACTTTTAACACTTTAAACATACTTGGAGTATCCACTTCAGTTCTATCACCACCAAACCCAAACAGATCGTCACTGTGATAACTTGACCAGCCTTTACCATAGCTCTTGGATTTAAGAGTCTGTGACCTAAAAGTAAAATAATAAAGTTAACTTGACGGAAAAATGTAGTGCAGTGTTCCGTGTTTCTATCAAGTTAAATAAGTGGAAGTCTAGGAGAACGAGGTATGCTGTGGGAACATGAGCTGACAGGCGAGTGTATCCACAGCATTTTGGAGTTCTCCCAAACTTTCACTTGAGCTTCTATTAAACAATTAGATTAAGAGCTCAAGATTTCTATCACGCGATAGTTAACGAGGGCATAGCCTGAGTCAAATATCACATGATAGAAATCGAGAGCGAATAATCTTATTTATTGTTTTAGCATAAATCTACTGGTCATTCAAAACTTTATCTAAATCCTCTTCACAGACACTTTGAAAACACCAAGAAGGGGCTGTCATTTTGTTAAGAAGGGCACACTGCTACTCTACTCATAGACAGGGCTTCTGATATTTGTGCAGTTGCGGAGCCGTGAATGTCAAGTAAATCCACGAAATCCCACGAAATTCACTAAAACATGCAAAATACCACAAAAATCATTGGAAATTGAGCCAAATACATGTCGGTGCAACATATTTGAAACTTATCTTGGCTGTTGGGGTTGTTTAGTTGCCATAAACTTGCAAATTTATCGTGAAACTTTGCCACTGCAACGAGTAAACAACATCCAAAAACTACCAGGCATTCTTAGATTAATGTTGCGAAAAACTGGGCACTCAGTGTGGCCACGATGTAAAAAGCCTTGTCATTGGCGCATTTCTTGAGCACATTGTTGTTAAAAGAGTAAATAATGATTTCTGTTAAAAAGAACCTTGTCATCAAACAAATACAAACATGCGCTATGGTCCAAACAAGTTGCTCAAATTTTCCTGCCAAATCGCCGCTTTTACAAATGCAACACTTATAAGTAGTAGGCATTCCTGTTGCTATTGTTATTGCATAGGTCAACATTCATCACTTTCCAACAAAAAAGTGGCAAAATTGCTGTCTTTTTTTTAGTTACAAACGTTCGTCAAATCAGTGCAAAACCGATCGCTTTCAAGAGAAATTTTCCCAGAAAACTCCCATGAAATTGGCCATTTTTTACCACGAAAATTCCTGCAAATTTCCCACAAAATCTGCTGTTTTTTCTGTGCATTTGTCTCTGGAAATCCTGCAAAATTTGACGTTTTTTCCGCGACCTATCAGAAGCCCTGCATAGATACTAATAGATAGTGAATAGCGTAGCCAATCAGAATGGCATTCATGATAGCACACTAGAAGATTTATATTAAACCTTGATAGAAACACAGAGAGCATATTTTCTATATCTTTTAGAAACTTCCGCAATGAAAGAGGAAAACAACTTGTTCATTTTGATCATCAAAATGTTTGCACCATCATTACGTCAACAGCTTGTGCTACTTCTGTGTTTCTATCCAGTCATACAAACAAATTGATTTTAAACCAATCAGCATTCACATAATTTTTCTTTGGGCTATTTTCTAAATATGTATGTTAAATACTACTGTTGTTGTACTGCAGTCTGAGAATGCAGAATCTGATATAAGTCTGCCAGACTAGTCATTGAGCCTTTTTGTTCCTTTGAAGCATAAACAAGGGCCATACTTTTCCGTCAATGGATATTCCGCACTGAATGTCTTTGTTCTTGGTCTCCTTTGCTCCTCATCTTTCCTCAGTTTCTTGTCATGTAATCTGAGCACAAGTGATCTAATCCCGCCAGGAGTTCGTGTTTTGAGGTAGTAGTCCATTTGGTGTTTGCTCAAACCCGTCTGCAGGAAAACTAGCATTGCTGGATCATTTGCAAACGTATTTCTACTTGCAAGACTGAAGAGTAGAGAAGAAGAAAAAAAGGTTACCGATAACTGACATTTACTACTGATGAAATATTTACTGGTATGTCATTTTTTTGTGAGAAATGCTTTTTTCAGCAGTGGCACTTACTGACATACCTGGGTGATTAGAAAATTTGTTTAATTTTGATAAATCTTGGGTGATGTGTTTGTTAATTAGAAAATGTAATAAGAAGACTTGATACCATAAAGTTTGTAATGTATTGACCCAGTTGTTACTTTTGGAATTTTTAATTGTACTATGGACATGTTTTAATGGCAGTAATTGTTTTGATAAGTATCTTATCTTAAGTATGTAAAGTATCCAAAAGCTTTTTCTTTCTTGATGCTACTTTCAGAGCTTCGCTACTTTCGGCAAACATGACAGAAAATAACACATCTTGAGGTTGTAAATCGTGATCGCAGGAGTAATATATTGAACACGAAAGGCCTTGTTGGACCACATTTCCAAACATTGAGAAGTAGCAGAGTATTTTTGACGAACTTTAAGGTGTTTGGAAATGTGGTCGAACACTGCCTTGAATGTTTGATATATCTTCTCAAACGAAACTAAAACTACGGAGAAAACAGAGAAATAAAATCATAAAAATCTGTGCTAATTAAGATCAGATATCGAAACACCATCACAGTCATGATTTCCTTTGTTTAAACTTGAGTTTGAGAAGCAGACTTCAAAAATAAATAAAATATAAGAGGAAACTACAGCTAACTTAAAATTTTACACCAAACCTGTTCAGAAATCTCTCCAATCCCTGCTGGCGCTTCTGTAAAAAACTGTCCTTAAACCGTCCAATAAGCTGTTTTCTTGGCAGTCGAGGGACATGCCTATTTGTCACAAAGCAAATTAATAAATTTACTTTAAAAGCTTGCCAGATTGACAGTAAAATGTAATGGCCAAATTGAATTAGTATGTGGAAAATAGCCCTAAGTGACTCTTGATGTCATGCCAAATTCTCCTTTTTTGTATAAGGAAGCAAAAAACAATTTTCTAGGAGAATCTTGCAGTCTATCAGATGTCACTTAGGGTCTTTTTCCATGCATCCCTTCAATATTATATATGCAATTTTTCAAAATATGGGTTTAAAATCATGGAGGTTTACAGCGCCAAAACTATGGAACTTAATACCTGACTCATATAGAACTATTTGATCTTTCAGGGTTTTTGAAAATACTATTAGAGAATTAGACTTCTCAGGTCTGATATGATCGTTAAACTTTATACCTTGTATTATTTATTAGTCTTAGCTAAATCTCATTTTATGAAAAGTTATATCTAGCCCTATGTAAATATATATATTTTAATCTTGTATTGTCTTAGCTATTTGTTGAAGGTATTATCTCAATTTAGTGGGTTTTTTTACTTTTACTTTCTGTGTGTTACCTGCAAACTAGCTGGTAAGATTGTCCTCACAAAAGCTAAGTGTATTTGCACAATAAACTTGACTTAACTTAATGGGTTCACAGTCAAGGAAAATACAGGGGCGTAACCAGCCTTTTTGCATAGAGGGGTTCCTAATGTATATTGCTTGCCCAATTGACAATTGAGCGCCAGAGGCGCTCTTTACTAGGGGTGTCTGGGGGCATGCTCACCCAGAAAAATTTTTAAATTTTGGGTCTCCAGAAATGGCGTTTCCTTGATTCTGAGCACAAATTTCAAATAACTTCAGCACCAAATGTTGCTAGCATTTCTAAGAGGGGATTGTAAATCTCGCTTCCTGAAGAGATGGAGCATAATAATATTAAAAATGGATAATATAATAGCTGTTTAACATATTACATGCTTCATCAGATGCTTTAGACTTGTGATTTACTGTTCACTCAGCTAGGATATCAGAAAGGAGGCGCCATGTATGCTTCCGTGCAAAAATGTCCATTGTTGAACCAATGTCAATTTGCCTACCATAATGGATGTTCATTAGTACAAGTCCAGACTCTCGCTCACTGGTCATGGTCGCCCTCAAATAAGTTTTCAGTCCCCACAATGTGCTGAACGATCACTCACATTCTGTAGAGGTAATTGGCCACGTACATAAGATGCGCAGCAACTTGTGTACGTTTGGAAAGAATTCATGGTTGCATTCTTCTAATTCCTGAACTGCACTGCTGGGTAGGTCTTGTTCCGCATTTAGCCACTTGCGCCACCAACGGAAAAGTTTCACATCAAAAACTTGGGGTGATGGTAGGTCAATCTGCATAGTACTATAAAGCGGCTTGTACAGGGTCTCCCTCTCGAGAAACTAGCAAGGCTGTAAGTAGGCACACGAGAGAAGACATCACAGCATCATTATTGGGGTCAAAGTATGTGTCTATCTCAGAAATAAGGTGATCCAACAGAAGAATTGTGAGTGATCTTTTGTAGTAATCCTTCGGTGTTCCTGCTTCGACATTGCTTCAGTGCTGTTGCCAACCAACAACGCGTGGCATAGATGGCTCAATGTTTGCTTTCCCCACTGTGGTGGTAGCCATGCTGTACCAATCCAAGCAATATTTCTTGATGTCTCCTCTGATATCTTGTAGCTCACCCTTTAAATCTTTGAGACGGTTGTATGCTGTGGTTGTATGGTTTGTAGGCCAAAAAAGTCGCTGATTCCCACATTGCAGGCTCCTGTACACAGGAGGCTCATATGATCCGTCCAATTTATCCATCTTATAATATTGTAACCTGCGATATAGCATGTGGTACCTTTTTCTTCTTCAAAAACAAAAATATCGTCTCGCGGAATTTGGAAAGGGGGGTTCCGATACCGTTTTTCCTCTTGAAATAATATTCATTTTCGTAACCCAAAAGGGGGGTTCCAGAACCTCTGGAACCCTCCCCTGGCTATGCCCCTGCAATATGACTTCATCTAACTTGCATTGAGTTGGAAAATATCAAATCTGTATCGTGCATACATGTTCAAGCAGGAAAAAACTGAACTGAATTTACACCAACTTACATCATGACCATGTCATCAAGCCCCAGTTTATTTCTGAGCCAAACAAATTCAGAATATCTTCTTCGAACACGGGAATGGAACAGTGGAAATGCTGGATGGTTGGTCTGAAGAATTAAATCAAAAGAATTATTTTAAAAATCTGCATGAGTTATGATGCTACAAATATTACTGATGCATTAGTTTTTTCTCAGGAACCAAACTTCTTGGATGTAATTTAAATTTCCCCAAGATCTAAAAGCAGGAATGAAACAGAACACTAGAGTGACCTCTGAGGGAATCATCATTATAAGGGATCTTAGTTTATTTAAGCTCACAATAGTAAATTCAAGCATAAAAGATCTACAATGTGTGTGCTTAGTTGCTTTTAATAGGGCGTGTTAGAGGTGTGACTCACATATGACCACTTGCTGTAACCTCCATACACATACAAGGAACTCTTTTCTTCCATCAAAACTATTTTGTTGAATACTTTGACAAGATTAACTTTACCTTTTTTTCGCTTACACAATAGATGTAAGCTTGCATTTCGCAAGCAATATTACATTTTCGCATAATTAAGTCTAATGTCAGATAACATTATCCAAACCAATCGAGTCCACCCGTTTAGACGCAGGGGGCTTAAGTCGCTTGTTCCTTCTTCCCAGCTAGTTTCGTTGTTTTGATAAGACGATTAACTAACAGGGAATGTTTTCTTAACTCAGCTGTGAACGTGATGATTTGTCCAAAGTATGATCACTTTTTATAGACGAAGATCATTATTAGCATAACAAGTGTTTCAGACGGCGTGCGAAGCCTATTATTGTCGACCAAACTTGGATTTTTTAGCCTTGATTGGTAAAACCGTTACTAAATACCGGTACATGAGAAACTTGAGTCCTCTGATCTGAGGTAAAGGGCTGAACTGACCCGTAAAATTGACCCTTTAAGCAACAAAATCGAATTGTGTCTTACCTTCAAGTCAATTTCATAGTCCGTGTACTGTGCCTTTTCATTTTCGATGTGAGTTCGAGGATTTTTAACTTCGATTTCCAAATACTGCAAGTAAATAAGACCAACATGAGTGAAAATGAAAAGCTCCGATGGATCATGATCAGCCTACGGCCCGGCATACAGCAAAACCGCATCAACAATATTCTCCACTCACCGCGTTCCCGTAAGCCGTTTCTCCTACTTGATCTCTAATCATACTCCAATCATACCTCGGCCGAAACAGCCTGTAACGGCGTCTTCTATACATACGTGATACAGGAACCTGAAAAACATCAGCAAAAGTATCTTAGCCCTCCAGTCAAAACAGACAAGAGGTAATTTAAGAACAGTAAAGGGCAGACTAAATACAGATGCGTACCGGCCATTTTCTACACTTACTCGACCCAGGCCTTCTCTATATGTTTCGTTGTGCCGAAAACCGACCGTCAAGCCGGCCCGGATGAAGCAAAATGACCACCAAACGTCATCCGCAGACGTCAATTACCTTGAGGTGTGATTTCTTAAGACAAATTCTTTCTTAAGAACGAAATGTGATGCATTAAAAGTGATACTAGTGA